TGTTGAGTGGGTTTTGATTTATAGTGACCCTATGTATCAGTATGAAACATTGGCTAGTCCTGTGCCATCTTCACAATTGTTGCTATGTTTGAGCCCAGTATGGAAGCCACTGTATGAAATCCATCTCATTGAGGATATTCCCCCTTTTCAATGATCCTCTATTTACCCTTATTTACCATCTTTCTCCAGGGAGTTTAGCCATTCTTACTTCTAAGTAGCATTCCCACTGTACCTCCTCCAAGATAGATTTGTTCATTCTTCTAGCAGTCCACGGTACATTCAATATTCTTTGCCAACACAACTAAAATGCATCAATTCTTCTGTGGTCTTCTTTATTCATTGTCCAGTTTTCACATTTATATGAGGCTATTGAAAACACCATGGCTTTGGGCAGGCTCACCATAGTCTTCAAAGTGACATATTTTCTCTTTAACACTTTAAAGAAGTCTTTTGCAGCAGGTTTGCCCATCATCATTTGATTTCTTGATTGCTGCTTCCATGGGTGTTGATTGTGGATCCCGTTAAAATAAAATCCTTGACAATTTCAATCTTTTCTCCATTTATCATCATGTTCATTATTGGATCCAGTTGTGAGGATTTTTGTTTTCTTTATGTTGAGGTGTAATCCATATCGAAGGCTGTAATCTTTAATCTTCATCAGTAAGTGTTACTGCCTCTTGGTCTATGTAAAGATTCCTCATGAGCACAATTAAGTGTTCTGGAATTCCCATTCTTTGCAATGTTATCTAGAATGTGTTATGATTCCTGCATTCAAATAACTTTGCATAGTCAATAAAACACAACATCTTTCTGGTGTTCTTTGCTTTCAGCCAAGATCCATCTGATATCAGCAATGATCCACATTCTCTTCTGTATCACACTTGAATTTCTGTCAGACTCTGTTGATATACTACTGCTGCATTTGGTTTTGAGTTATTTTTAAGAAAACAGTAGACCATACAGGGGACAAACTTTTGAAAACTTCTTAGCCATAATCAAATATCTTGAAGGAAGGAGTCACTGAGTCTGGGGGCTCAGGACCATAGTCTCAGGGAACATCAAGGTCAATTGATACAACATATTCAACAAAGAAAAGGTTCTATCTCTTGCTTTGGTGAGTGGTGACTGGGGTCTTTAATGTTTGTAAGTAGCCATGTAAGGTGCAACTATTGCTTTCTCTCTGGAGCAAAGAAGAGTGAAGAAAGTCAAAGACAGATGAAAGCAAACCACAACCTTCATGACTTTGAGACCAGAAGAATAGATGGTATGCAGCTACCCCTACCAACCACTCTGAAA